CTCTGACTCATAGCAACTTTGTGCTGAGTTCTGGAGGAGTGACTGGAGGGCTTGAACCATAGACCTTAAGGTTAGCAGTCCAGTGCTTATCCTAGTGTCCCACCAGGGCTCCTTTTTAGGTGATGGAATGACATAAATCTTTAATAAAATTGTTTGCTCTTCATTCATATAAAGTGAGAAAGTGATATATCTTAAAACAACACGCACCCTGGAAGAGGATTTCCTTACATTTGAAAAATACAAATGAGATGTTTTATGTGACAGTTTAGCACATACATTTCTTTGCCGACCACCTACTGAGTGCACTCAAATGAAGAAAACAACACAAGGTGCTCCATGCTCAGACAGACAGTCAGGCTGGAAACTTGGTGAAAGGAAGACCTAGCACTTGGGAGGAAACTGAGGATAAGGTTTTCTGGTTTGAACATAAGGTATGTGAAAGGACAGCGTGCATGTGCAGACATCAGAGTGACATCTGTCCTTGGAGTGGAACTGAGGGTGGAATGGAAGAAGACGCAGGTCCAGTTGCTGTGATATCAGCTTGACCTCAAGTCTACCCTCAGCACTGCAGCAGTTTGGGAAAGCACTTTAATGTGCTGATTAACCTCTGACACATCATTTAAGGACTAGTATCTTGGGCAAGAGTCCCCAAAGAGTTGTTGCAGGCTGTCAGAATCTTTCTCTCCTCCCCACATCCTGTCCCTTCCTCATCTGCAGCCTCCTCCCACCACCTTCTATACCTGCTCTGTTCAAGGGTTTCTAATTCCTGCTGTTTCTGTTTTATTGCTAACTGATTTTAAGGCTTTGAGGAATCTAAAAGTTGTTGTTTTCTTACCAAGTGGTGGAGAATCTCTACATTTGGCAATTTCAGTTTGGAAAATGTACAGAAACAACAATGCAAAGATACCATCTGTATTACCTAGTGGATGCTTTCTTCTTCCAATCCAAGTTCTAAGTTTTAGGAATGAAGGTAGATTTCTTACGTTTTGGGTATTCCAGGTCATGTATCTGTAAGGAGATTAAATAATAATATTTTGTTACAAACTAACTGCTATTAGATATTGTGTGTGGCACTGTAAGCTAAGCACTGGAGCAGCTCCTCAGAAACCCTATATGAGGTCACTATGAGTCAGAACCAACTCAATGGCACTTAACAACAACTTTAACAACTTTGAGTTTCATAATTATTGTGTTTTTAGATGATCATAGGGAAGTATTTGCATCCTTATTTATGGGTCTTAAAGGTCTAGCTAGCATGTGATGAATATCTCCAGATTTATGCCCTTCAATTAAAAAAAATATATACTTCTTTACCTGACTCCAAGTCGAACTGGTTTGTCCAAAACGAATGCCTGAGTTAGAAGGCTGCTTGTTTGAAGTTCTTGAAGGTTCTTGACATAACTTTCTTTTAGATCTGTGGGCTGTCTGGCTCAATATTGATCTGTGGACACTTGCATCAATTTCTTTATTCTGATTTATTGGTTGTTGCTGAAGTAGTTGGTGATCTTCAGTTTCTGTATCTGATCCAAAAATGTGTGGTTGTCTTTTCATTTTTACTGACCCATGGCCTTTCCCTAGGATCTGTGTTAGATATTGACTTGCTACATTTTCTTTCCTGTTCATGTGGACAGTACTTCTAACTGCACTTGAACTGGTACCTGGCACCTGAAATACTGAACTATCAGACCGCTGTTTACTTTCTTTTGCATTTTTAATCAGTGGTTTTCCACTAGGAGAAGGATATTTGGTTGGTTTTGTGCAGGGCTGGGTGTTTTTTGTTGGCCTGTTTTCAGCATGCACGTGGATGTGACTATGAGATCTTTTCTTTACAGACGAACCGAGATTGAGTGTGCCACTCTGGAACACACTAGTAGTCGGTGAAAACAACTTGGATTCTGTAACAATGTACTGCTTTCTTTTCAGACTGCCAGCTTCCAAGTTGTTTTTGTTCATCTGGGCCAATCGACTTGTGAAAGTGGGTATGAGTTTAGGGGTACTTCCACTTTGGCATCTAGGATGTGTGTCTTGAACTTGAGTGTGTCTTCTGTTGGGCTTTGTTATGTCCAGACACATCTGTGGTGTCTGGTTGGAGAGCAACATCTGTCTGCTCTGAACAGACCCTGGCTGCAGATGTGGAGCCAGGAGGATGTGCGGCTTTGACTGGCTGACGGAGAGCGCCACCTTGTGGTCCATTGCTAATGAATGAGGTAGGAGACTTTGGGCCACAGGTTTCCTGGAAGTGGCTTGGATCAGAGGAGCCCTGAGAGGTTTTTTAGTGGTCAAATTGGATGGCTTGATTTTGCTTCCCTAAAGGATAGAGATAAAAAAAAAAAAATTAATGTAGTTAAGTCTTTATGTCCTTATTTAATATCTTAACTTCTTTTCCATTAAAGTATTACTGGATAAACAAAACAAGTGAAACAAAAAATGAACAGCCTTTCTCGGGGAAATGCGAACAGTACTTTTGATTCTCCTTCTTCCTTAGACATTGTATAAATCCACGAGAATGCCTACTACAGACAGCCACACATTGTCCTCAACCTGCTCTGACTGGTCTCTTGTGGGGAACATCTGTCTTTCTCTTCCTCTTCCTAAGTTATAGGCTTCCTCTATGTTCTTAACAACACCCACCTTCTCTGTTTCGCCCACCAACCAACCTACCATATAAAGCAGTTGTTTTTCTCACAACTCCCAGAGAATCATAAATACAAGGTGTGCTACTGTCTTCAGTGTTCCCAGGCTAGCTAGCTGAGTAGGTACTAGAGTCTCTGAAGTAGGAGCAATGAGTACAGGCAGACCTCAGTAATACAGCAGGTTCGGTTCCAGACCAAGGCAGTAAAGTGAGTCACGTGGGTTTTTTGTTTTCTTTGTAGTCTCCCAATGCATGTTCTGGTGTGGTGCTGTAGGATAAGCACTGGACCGATTCAATGGCACTCAACTATAACAACAGTACATATAAACATTATAGTGATGCTAAACTACAGTCTATTCAAGTGTACAAAAACATGATGAAAAAGTTTGAAAATGACCAGAATGTGACAGAGACACAAAGTGAGCACATGTTGTGGGCTAAATGGCACTGACAGAATATCTCGACACAGAGTCACCACAAACCTTCAATTCATTAAAAAACACTGAGTTAATTCCAACTGATGAAAATAGCAATTCAGCATGCAGGAGTCAAAGTGACTTGTCAGAGCCATTGAAGGGAGCCTGCAATCTTCAAATGGAGTCGTCTCCAGGCCTAACTTCTGCAGATGAATGGCGCATGGGGATGGTCCAGGACGTTGAACAAAGTGCTCGTTCCTTGTCCCCAAGGAACACAGTCAGATACACAGCCACAGCTCAAAATAGCACTTTCACAAGTGTTATGGGTGACAGGAGGAGCACTAGGGGTGGGCAGTGGGTTGAGCATTGGACTGCTAACTGGAAGGCTGGTGGTTAGACCCCACCAGCCACACTACAGGACAAAGATGAGACAGTCTGCTTCCGTAATGATATGCTGCTATAGTTAATTCCCACTCATAGCGATTCTATTGGATAGAGTAGAACTGCTCCAAGGGATTTCCATGGCTGTATCTTTACAGAAGCAGCCAACAAGCAAGCAGTCCTTCCTTATATACAGCGCAGGGTCTTCACAGCACATACACATGCCCCAGGAGACACCAGGCAGAAGTCGTCTCTCTTTCTGTGACTGTGGTACCTTGCATGTAACTGACATGGCACTTCTACCCAACGTCTTCTTAATTCCCACCAAGTGATGCAAATGAGGTGTACAGGACTTTAATGGTGTGATTGGTTAGTTTTGCCATCCAGCTAGGTTTAAAAGGAGCCATCTTAGTAACAGGAACAGACGATCCCAGGACCAATAAGAAGGACAAGCATGAGTGCAGTGACCTCCCTACCTAGACAAGTGGCAACGGCAGAGGTGTGGAGAGACAGCAGCTTCGGACTCTAGGCCCCTGGACTGAGAAAAGCTGATGGCCTCCGGGCAGGTAACTGGCTTACAGAATGAGCCCTTTGGGCATTCACAGACTGCCTAACAAGCTTTGTAACACTTGCCTGAGCAGGGCGGAGGCCCAGGGGCCACACGGCTAAGAAGCTGAGACTAAGCAGGAGGCGTGCCTGCAGTATGGCACACACGAAGTGTTTCTGATTGAAGAACTGCTGTGTTCGGAGTTTTTGTGATCCTGCAGTTGTACCCTGTTCACTTCCATAATAAACCCCATAATCATGAGTACTGTTATGAACTCTGTGTGATTACTGCAATGGATTGTTGAACCCAGAGGTGAAGCAGAGAGGGCTGTGGGAAGGATGGTTGGTATCAGAACAGAGTAATGAATTTGTAGAGCAGACGCATGCCTGACCTACACTTCATGGGAATCGGCCTTGGGCTGATTCTGAGTTTGATTCTCTTCCCCCTTGTGAAGCCAGGGGAAGACAGACATGGCTCCCACATGATTTATACGTGACCAAGCCTGTGAAGTCACAGAGTGTCACGACTAGACCTGAGACATGGGAACTGAGTCCATCACCCCATGTGAGAAGAGCATGTGGGTGGGGCTCCTGGGGCACCCTGGACAGACAGTGGCTGTCAGAAGGCAGCCTCTCCCCTCACACCTCCAGCAGATCTGCAAGTGGTCTAGAAGAACTTGTGCATGTGGCAGTGGAGGGGTGGCCAGGGATTGGGCGAGCATGGGTCACCAGTGCCCTGGCAGCCCTCCTTGCCTCTTAGTCATGTGTACTTTCCCCGTGTTACCTTAGCCTGCGGAGAAGGGAATTCTGGGAGCATAGTCCATCTTGCCAAGCAGACACAAAGAACAACAGTGTTTGCTCACTTCAACTGTTTTCGGGGATAAATGAGAAGAACATAAGAAAAATTTGGCCGAGGTTTGAGGGTGAGTAGGCCTTCCTTCTTGTTGGGTTATTTTTCATGCTGGAGCTGATCCATGCCAACAGGGCAAGAAGAGGCACCCCTCAACATTCAAGGGCACAGAAGAGAACCCAGCAGGTCCCCTAGGAGTAGGAGATGGCTGGCAGCCTCTGAGGATGCTTGACTGAGTGAAAAGATGTGCCAAGGAGGGGTACCTCTAGCAACAGTGAATGGGGTCCCGCTGTGTTATAGCAGGGCACCAGGGTAAAGCTAGATCCTGTCTGAGAAAGCCTCCCATGTGAATGACTCCCCACGCCCTCCACTGCCCAGCTGAGACTGAGCAAAGGCTATGGGAGGGATGGATGAAATGTGTGGGTTGAACTGTGTCCCCAAAAGAGATGTCCAGCTTCTAACCACTATGAGTGTGACCTTACTGGGAATGGGTCTTCATGTGTGTGACAAGTCAAGGATTTCAGGATGAGGTCATCCTGGATTAAGGGGCAGGCTCCAAAAAGCAACAAGAGGGGGACTGGAGACACGGACAGGACGGGCAGGGAGCCATGGAGGCGGAGTCGGGTTAAGATGGAGGCGGAGTTCTGCTGCCATGAAGCCAGGAGCACCAGGAGCCACCAGAAACAGCAAGAGGCCCGCAAGGATCTTCCCGAATGCCACCAACAAACTCAAGTCAGATACCTGGCTCGTACAATTGTGTGTGAATCGACCCTTCTTCTTTGACGCTACCAAGTATCTGGGAATTTGGTGTGGCTCCCAGGAACCAGAGCCACAACCCCAGCCCGCCTACTACAGTCCTTCCTTCTCTGTTGTCGGTGCGAAGTGCAGTTGAGTCGGTGCCAACCCATAAACTTTGTCCAGGTTTCTGAGAGGAAGCTGGTGGGTTTGAACAACTGACCTTGTGGTTATAAGTTTGGGGCTTATCCAAATCCTAGAAATTGAAAACAGACATTTTCTGGGTTCCTTTGCAGTAGAACTCAGGCTATGGCTAAGGACCGGCGTACAGTAACTGGAATCAGATCATGAGGGAAAGACACATCGTGCTGTTTCTGCTGAGAAGCCTTTGGGTCTTCAGTAGCAGGGTCAGCAGATGTCCACGTGTGCACTCACTGACTCAACAGGCCTCCAGAGCTGAGCTCCTCATGAGGTGGGTACTTTCTGGGTCCCACCTCCCATGCACCCCCCTCCCGTTTCATGTGAGTTCTCCCCTGTGGATGCCACAACTCTCAAATCTTAGGGTAATTCTGCCTTAGAATGGCTGAACTACCTTAAAGTGGCCAGATAGAATTTTTTTCTGTTCAGGGAAGAAAGGGTTTAAGAACGAAGTTGAAATCAGCTACAGAAAAGCAAAGAACTATTAGTTCGTTTTTGGATTTGGGGGTTTCATTCCTACTATTTGAGATACTGAAAAAATCTCTGGCAAGTTTTATATCACCATAATTGACTTGCCTTGTGAGATGAGACTTAGAGTGCTGATAGTCACCCCTGTTCCCTCTCCTCTGTCTCTCAGGTACATCCAGATGAGGACAGTCATGCTCAGGAGTGCGCTGGGCCCCTGGCCTGTCAGGACTTTACTTATACTCCTTCCTTCCATTAACCCAAAGGGGAAAACCTCTAGGTTTATATTCAAAATTTGCTAAAAGACTACAAAAGGGGCCTAGGTAAACAGCAGGTGACATTATAAATAATTCACAGACTTTAAATATGAGCTTGTACAAATAGAGGATAAAAAACCCCCAAAGCTTTATGAGGTCCCAGCCTGGTAACTGACAAGTGTCTTCTACCTAATTATCATTATTATGCTAGGTGTCATTGGCAAGCATAGCTTGTTGACTTTGAATGTCTCTACATTTTACAGACAATTTATAGAACTCTGTTGTTAAGTGTCATGGAGTCAGTTCTGGCTCACAGCAACCCTGTCTAGGGTTTCTAGGGAGCAGCTGGTGGGTTTGAACCCCGACCTTGGGAGTAAGCAGTCCAGTGCTTATTCTATAGCACCACCAGGACTCCATATAACTCTGCACACATACAATTAGAGAGGGTAACTGAAAGCTTGGATTTCTATTTAGAGATAAATGGGCATTCACTAGAGGCCGAGAGCTGAGGCAATGGTTAAATGACCCATCGAATGTGTTTTAATTAATTAAATGTGGTCCTCTGCTTTATGCTACTTCAGAGATTTTCTTGCTTAAAAGTTGAATCAGAATTCAACAACAAACCTGTGGCTCTCTAATCACAGGTTTACAGAGGATGTGGACTTTAAGGCTCGGCTAAGTTTAAAAGATACGACATGACAAGGCAGCAACCAGTCAAATCCAGAATACGGGACATTTCTAGAGCACTTTTTCTAGTAAGTAACCGGCATAAATAAAGCCTGAGGGAGGTGGGATCCTACAAAATAAAAGAGACTTTTGTTTTCTTT